TAATGCATGGGAGCAACATCAAATCACATGTTTGAACGTTTGAAACCACGAAAAGCTTGCAAACGCGCGGCTAATGCGAGCCGACATACGCGGAATCGCGATTCCGGCCAAACATGGTCTCGGAAAAGAGGTCACAGGTCAAAGGTCATTGGGGTCAGGGTCATGACATTTTCAGGGTAGGTGTAAAATTGATCAATGCGAGGGTACTGAACGTTTCGTCGCGATCGGCCGCTTTTTACGCGAGTTATTCGCGAAAAACCATGGGGGGTCCATCCGCCCCCCCCTACACATGCGAGGGTTAAACCACTTTCGTATGCTACTCATTCACATGGCATTTTGTACATTGTACAATGGTTACAAAATTAACGTAAGCTATTCCTTTTTTTCCCTCAGATACTCACAAGCAGGCATGTTGTGCACAAGACTCAGTACGGAGGACCGGTGGACAGTGGACGGTGGACAGTGGACGGTGGACAGTGGACGGTGGACAGTGGACGGTGGACGGTGGACGGTGGACGGTGGACGGTGGACGGTGGACGGTGGACGGTGGACGGTGGACGGTGGACGGTGGACGGTGGACGGTGGACGGTGGACGGTGGACGGTGGACGGTGGACGCCGGACAGTGGGCGGTGGACGGTGGTGGACGGTAGATGGTGGACGGTGGACGGTGGACGGTGGACGGTGGACGGTGGACGGTGGACGGTGGACGGTGGACGATGGACGGTGGTCGGTGGACGGCGGACAGTCTGCTGGTGGTCTACAGAGCAGAGTAGGAGGAGCGGCGGCACGTAGAGCTCAGTGCCCGCCTCGGTCGGCCGCTCGGACAGACATTGTTCTGTCCGAGCGATGCTCCACGCGGTGATGGCTCGGCCGATACCGGCCGCCGAGTGACGAGCGACCACCGCCAGGTGACCTGGTCCGGGTCGGAGCAGACCACCGACCTGGATCAGGTCTGAACGGACCACCGACCTGGTCCTGGTCGGAGCAGGCCACCGACCTGGTCCTGGTCGGAACAGGCCACCGACCTGGTCCTGGTCGGAGCAGGCCACCGACCTGGTCCGGGTCGGAGCAGACCACCGACCTGGTCCTGGTCGGAACAGGCCACCGACCTGGTCCTGGTCGGAACAGGCCACCGACCTGGTCCTGGTCGGAACAGGCCACCGACCTGGTCCTGGTCGGAACAGGCCACCGACCTGGTCCTGGTCGGAACAGGCCACCGACCTGGTCCTGGTCGGAACAGGCCACCGACCTGGTCCTGGTCGGAACAGGCCACCGACCTGGTCCTGGTCGGAACAGGCCACCGACCTGGTCCTGGTCGGAACAGGCCACCGACCTGGTCCTGGTCGGAACAGGCCACCGACCTGGTCCTGGTCGGAGCAGACCACCGACCTGGTCCTGGTCGGAACAGGCCACCGACCTGGTCCTGGTCGGAGCAGACCACCGACCTGGTCCTGGTCGGAACAGACCACCGACCTGGTCCTGGTCGGAGCAGGCCACCGACCTGGTCCTGGTCGGAGCAGGCCACCGACCTGGTCCTGTTCCGAACGGACCACCGACCTGGTCCTGGTCGGAGCAGACCACCGACCTGGTCCTGGTCGGAGCAGACCACCGACCTGGTGCTGGTCGGAGCAGACCACCGACCTGGTCCTGGTCGGAACAGGCCACCGACCTGGTCCTGGTCGGAGCAGACCACCGACCTGGTCCTGGTCGGAACAGGCCACCGACCTGGTCCTGGTCGGAGCAGACCACCGACCTGGTCCTGGTCGGAACAGACCACCGACCTGGTCCTGGTCGGAGCAGGCCACCGACCTGGTCCTGTTCCGAACGGACCACCGACCTGGTCCTGGTCGGAGCAGACCACCGACCTGGTCCTGGTCGGAACAGACCACCGACCTGGTGCTGGTCGGAGCAGACCACCGACCTGGTCCTGGTCGGAACAGGCCACCGACCTGGTCCTGGTCGGAGAGACCACCGACCTGGTCCTGGTCGGAACAGACCACCGACCTGGTCCTGGTCGGAGCAGGCCACCGACCTGGTCCTGGTCGGAGCAGGCCACCGACCTGGTCCGGGTCCGAACGGACCACCGACCTGGTCCTGGTCGGAGCAGGCCACCGACTTGGTCCTGGTCGGAGCAGGCCACCGACCTGGTCCGGGTCCGAACGGACCACCGACCTGGTCCTGGTCTGGAGCGGACCACCGACCTGGTCCTGGTCTGGAGCAGGCCACCGACCTGGTCCTGGTCTGGAGCAGGCCACCGACTTGGTCCTGGTCCGAACGAACCGGTGTGGGCTGTGACCACTTCCTTCTCGAGAAGCGTACACGGAAAAATTGATCAGAAGACTATCTGAGTTAGGTGCAAACTATTGCTTTTTATAGTGAAAATGAGTGCTGTACAACAAGGTGAGATTGTTGTTTCATCGCGCTGTATTTCGGGTTCGACTGTGCCCTCTTTTCCACTGGTACGTTTCTCACGCCTCAACCCATATCTGACCAGTCTCACGGACAACAGGCTGCACTTCTCCTCGGATCCCTCGCTGCAAGCTCGTTGTGGGAAGAGTGAATCAGCCATAGAGTTTTTCTTTTCAACTATTCTGACTTACTGGAGAGAGACTATGGGATAGCTCTCAAGGGAGATCTCAAGGAGCATCTGTCTGTAGACTCTGTTTGGTCTGAGCAGTTGCGACACTTCTACATGCATTTCAGCTGAGCAGCCTTGCTGTTGGAGTGACAGTGGGGCGAGTCACCAGTTCAATATTCCCCCCACGCGCCGTCTCGGCGGAGCGCCGTTTGCCCTCTCTGCAGTACGGTCCGTCGCCGCTCAGCCGGCTGTCAGCACGCAGTGGCCCGCGAGGTGTGACGGGCCACGTTTGGCGGCACAAAAACCCTCCGTCCCGGCGATAAACAGGCATCACGGCACCGACACTTTTTTCACCGGGACGTCGTAAAAACGGCTAGCGTCTCAATCTGAGATAAAGGGCTTAGCGGGCGCGGAACGGACGGGCCAGAAGTGGGCTCCGTCTCGGCGCGCCGCACCGGTGCCGTCCCGGCGCGTCGGACCGACTGCGGGGCGGTAACGCGCCGACAATTGGTGGAGGGACGGCCATAAAGGACGAAAGGGGACCCTAAGCGGATCACGCCCACCCACTGACACCAGAGACGATTGCGGCAAAAAATGCCATGAATTCCGGTCAAACGGATTTGGAAATTAGATACAATCTCGATTGTCGAATTGGATCTTACTAGTAAAAGGCTTTAAACATACATATTAGAGCTAAAGGGAGCTAGAGCTAATTGATACAATTTCAGACCAATAATCGTATGAAATTTACACCTCAATATGCTCCAATTTATTTATCACATAGAAGTCGCCAAATCGGCCACACTTCAGATGACCGAAAATGGCTATTTAGTCGGTACATACCTGCTTATGTTTACAATATCCTGGCACCATTAGCAGTCGCTGAAGCTTCAAAGAATTTGGTTAGTTGTTGTAACTAGGACACGTATATTGCATTCACCTTTTCTTTAACCCTATTCCTGGCGCGGGCTCCGCCGGGACAAGAAACTGGCGGGGGGGGGGGGGCCGATTCGGCCCCCCTTCAGATATCAAAAACTACACATCGCAGCGACAAACGGCAAACGGCGTTTGATAGGTCGTTTAAAGATCTACAGCTTTTAGAAAAAACATTTTCAGATCAGGTCAATATTGAGGTCACCAGAGGTCATCAACGATAAAATGTTTTGGAACTAGTTACCTATATAACTTTTAAACTAAGAAACATAGAGACATAAAACCAATACATTTTTTGTTGCTCTCGCCGAGGCGATGCGAAATAAGTATCAGATGACCTTCACAGGTCAATTTGAAATTTGACCTGAGGTCAAGGTCAGGTCATTCATCAATGAGGTTGTGGGGTATGGTCATGCTGCATACCAAACGACGCGCCTTGACCAGGCGAGCAGTTTGGTACCACTTACAAGTCTTTAGCACCATCATGTCGTGATTTATTGACAGAAAAACGATTTATGACGTCACATGACCTCAAATTACCTTTGCCGGTGCCCCTGTCAATTAGCGGCACCAGGATCATCACCGATGAGATAATCTTCCATAATACTGAAAGAATTAGGTGGTTTTGACTCGTTTACACGAAGCAGGAGGCGTTTCAATATTTTCCCATAGGCTTGCAATGTAAAGGACACGAGTGTGGCCTGACCTCAGGTCACAGATATGAAAATTCTGAGACATACAAATTGCACATACTGGTACCCTTACTAAAACCTGAAGAGAAGAAATTGATCGGTCAAAAACTCTAGCTCTGGCGTAATTGCAAACTATTCTGAGGTGGGGTCACCAAACCGCCTCTGGTGACCTGACCTGACCTGACCCGGTAACTTTTTTTTGTCAAAATGTGCGCAATGAATGTTTAGAAAAAGTCATCGAGTATGAGCTTTCCGTCTTGCGGCGTTTGGCAATGGCACAAGAAAAACCTGAAGGGGGAGCCTTAAAGCCCCCCCCCCCCGCCAGGAATAGGGTTAATGATTGGGCATTTTAGGAGAGCTGATAGCCACAGGTCATCTAACTTACAGCTTCGACTTATAATCTGCCAGTATGTGTAAGCATGTCTGAAAGTGTGCAAGAAAAAAAAAACGGCGGTGCTTCACGCTGTCGTTTGTAGGATATTCATGAAAAAAAAAATCCTGAGAGAGTGCCAAACTTTTAATCCTGGTACGGCACGGACTCCTCTTGGCTCTTATCATAAACCAATACAGGGAGGAACCCGATCGTGAACCTGAGTACATGCTTCGTAAACATCCATAAGCTGTCACGTATATTTCGTCAGAGCCATCTCCATCACAATGACATTAGTCTGCGGGAGGACCTAGAACAGAGTGTGGTTGGATACATTGACAGCTGTCCTACGGTTATCGGCAGCCGGTGACGGACGCTCGGATGGGTCAGCTGTCAGTGACGGGAGAGCGGTCGGTCTGCGGCCTCTCAGGGGGTGGCGCGCACCTCGCAGTAGTAGCCGGCCTTCACCACCGAGTAGTCCGAGTGGAAGTCGATGGTGTACGCGCCGCTCTCGCTGAGTGCCGGGCCCTGGCGGCCGCAGTATTTGACGCCGTTAACGCGCAGCCAGTCCCAGCCGCAGCTGCTGTTGTACTCGATCTCGAACTGGCAGCAGGCGAGCGTCATCGTGTTCACGCCGGAGCCCGGGGTGATGGTGTAGGCGCAGTCCAGGTTGTTGCCGTAGTTGGAGGGGTAGCCGGGCGACTTGATGCTGTAGAGTCCGGGAGCGACAGTGTGCGAGCCGCAGGCCAGCTCCTGGGGAGTGCCGCCGGCCTGGGCCGTGATGGTGCACTGGTAGCCAGTACTTGTGACCGAGTAGTCGGAGTGGAAGGAGAGCTCCAGAGCACCCACCTTGGTGACGGACGGTCCGGCGGTGCCGCAGTACTTGGCGCCACCTACCATCAGCCAGTCGTAGTTACAGGAGGAGTGGGACTCGAGGCTGAACGCCGAACACTCCACCTTGAAGGAGGTGACGTCGGCGCCGGGCGCCAGGTTGTAGGCACAGTCGACGTTGTTGCCATAGTTGGCGGGGTAGTTGGGCGACTTGATGGTGTACGTGCCGGCGGTCAGCGTGTGGCTCCCGCAGCCTAGCTCCGAGCGGGCCGCACCCACTCCGAAGAGGATGGTCGGGTCGCTCTCCGGAGGCGGTTTGGCCACCGCGAGGCTGACAGCGGTAAACAGAACTGCGAGAGCCTTCATGGTGCTGGCTCAGAAGCTGGTCTGACAAACGACCTGCCCGGGGGCGGTTTTATCCACCCAGCGATATTGCTGTGTCATATGCACATGTGGCCAACAGGGATGTTCTTCTTCGCGCAAGAGGGTAAAGGCGGGCGGGAAGTTGAAAAGAGGAGCTGAGGCAAGCAGAACCCCGTCCGCCCACTGCACATGCTGACAAGCATTGTCGTCTTTTGATGAAGATTGCACAAGTGTTCGATGGCACATTGTGCTTTTTCATTTGAATCGAAGGTGACTTGCGTCGCACAAGCAGTGGCATTTGGAAGGCGAGTGACGAAGGTACAACGCAGATGTTAAATTTCTTTTTACACGAGGATACACTGTAGTCTAACCCTATGATAAGAAACGTTTTATCAAGATTCAGCACACATCTCATACGATGTTTCAGCTAAATTTTGACGGTTAAAAGGACCCTCCCACCTTCAAAAAATTAATGAATTGGCACAAAAGCGATGCCTCGAGGTTCAGAAAAATCAGAAATGAATATCTACCAATTTTCACCGAAAAATGTTCACTATGGTTTTCAAAATGTTAGACTTTTACTTTGGTTAATTTGTGGGATATCCGCTGTTCCTAGCGACTTCATTTGGAAGCAATAATATGGCATCCTTTAACCCTCGCCCGTAAACGGCGATCTGCCACCTTCGCCCATGCAGGGGGGGGGTTGGTGCGACCCCCCCCCCTTGGCGTTTGAAAACGGAGCGTCGTAGAGCTTAGCGGAAAAGACCAACGGATTGCTCTCGCCGAGATCTCGCGATTGGTGGTATATTTTTTGGTCCTAGGTCAACATTTGACCTACTTTTGACCGGTCAAAGGTCAAATTTTCGGAAAAATAGAATTTTTCAACTTTCCGCGGCGATTGCGGCAAAACGGTGGGAGATATCGACTTGAAATTTTCACTATCGTGTTCCTTGATCAATTCTCTATCGTTTGGTATGTATTTCGTTTCCCTAGCTCTAAAAATGGCGCGTTGGGAGCGCCGGAAGTCGGCAAGGTCACAGTCGGCGGCAGAAATTCGAAAAATCAAAATTTAAATTTTTGAAATCTGATTGTATTTTTGGATTTGGAAGGTCCATTTGCTCCCTATAGAAGCTAATATTGCTGCATATTCCCATTGAGGTGACAAGCATTAGCAAAATAGTGGTTCGGGCGCTTTTCAAAAATAGTACCGGACGCTGTTCCTCTTGTGACGTCATAGCTCCGTGACCTGACCTGACCCGGTCAAGTTTCTTATACCATATGATAGCCAATACTTGCCCCAACATGCATGGGAAGTTTCATCACGATCCATCAACCGATGTCCGTACCACCGGCAGGAAACCTCGGGCGTTGGCACTCAGTTTGTGAAAATCCGGCCGGAGGCTGTTCCCTTTGTAACGTCATAACTCCGTGACCTGACATGACCCGGTCAAATTTTTTTTTATCAAAAGATGCACAAGGTTTGCCCCATAAGGTACCCAAAATTTGGCGGCGCTGCGCGTCGCCGTTTTCGCACTATTTCCGAAAAACCTCAGGGGGGGTTGCACCAACCCCCCCCCCCCTACATGGGCGAGGGTTAACCCTCGCCCTGGCAGGGTTGATGCAACCCCCCCCTAAGGTTTTTCAAAAATAGAGTAAAAACGGCGGCGCGCAGCGCCGCAAAATTTGGCACAGTCTATGGAGCAACCTTTCTACATATGATCTGAAAATTTCAGGTCCAGGTGACCTTGGGTCAGGTCACCAGTTCAGAAAAACCGGTACAAGGTCATGGTCAAATTACAATTTGTTTTAATGCACCTGTCCAACTCACAGTTTTGAACTGATTTCCCTCGAACTTTCAGGATGTACTAAGCTGACCGAGTTGTATAACATATAGTTCGGGTTTTTTATGTCACTGACCTGAGGTCAGTAAGAGCAGAGGTCATTACGTCGTAATGTTAAGCCTATGGGAAAATATTCAATTAGGAAAATACTGGATATATCCGCTTCGTTCTATCACTTCTGTGCTTTAAAGCCACAGTACTTTACAGCATATCACTTAATGCTTCTTTATTTGGTGTACTTATCCATGGGTCAGGTCAAATGAAGTCAACTGAGGTCAAATGACGTTTTTGCCAATAACTTGGCACATATTGACGCTAGAGCTTACAAAATGATGTCTTTGTGTTCCTGGTGATCAGCCGAATCGAATGATGTGCGACATGATGCAATTTGGTTAACTTGAACTTAATCAATTAATTAAAGTTTACTTGAAAATTAGGAAAAATTTTAGGTACAATTAAGCAAGCAAAAAGTATATCATTCGACGCGCCTTGACGTGCTGAATTCATTGGTGCTTTTTTTTTGCTCTAGCTTATTTAGATCAAAAGTTATAAGCGAAAAACTTTTGGCCTTTTTTTAGCGAAATTTTTATATTTATACCCCCAAACCCCCCTAAATATTGACCTAGAGCAACCAAATTTGCACAGGGGCGAGAGCTCCAGAGGGCCCACCTACCTACCTACCAAATTTGGTGTTTCTAGGTGCCATAGAAGCCAATGGCGAGGGGGTTGCATCAACCCCCCCTGCCAGGCCGTGTTATGAAAAATGCCCTGCCAGGGCGAGGGTTAAGTGCGGCAGACGTTGCGCGCAAAGCAGTATATACCCACTGAATTCTATATATACCACCATGTGTGGACGATAGCGTTAGTATAAGGCTTAAACTCGTAAGAACTCCGCTGACGTCACAAATTCTAGGTGGCATTCAAATGCATTAGCCCCTTAGAATCTGAAAATTACAAGTTTGAAATTAGATATCTCCGAATTAAAGTAATTTTCGATGTTCTGAGGGCTAGGTACATGACTGATCCCTAATCTTTCTCAAGTGATCCTTATAAAAACATATATGTACACAAAGTATGGACTCGGGAACATACTACATGCCTCCTGTATTGTATATGCTACACCTTCCTGCAATAGAGAGATACCTAGATTCCCTGACACTAAGGGCGTTGTAAAGTTACGACAATATGCAGGGGTTGAATTATGATGTCATAAGTCAGTGATGTAACCGGAACCTAAAATGCAGTTGGCGTCACTAGTTTCAAATGATATCAAAGGTCAGGCTTGCCGGGTTTCATCTCTTTATCTTTAACTGCAGACGTTGCGAGCAATCACGAGAAAACCATTAGGTGTTACCGACTTCTCCATTTCCCCCACTTCTGCTGGACGTTATGTCTGTATGCTAGGAAATTTTCTACCAAATTCGTAAAAACATTACCAAAATTAATTTTATAAGACACCTTTCTTTGCTGAATAATTAGGTTATTTAAATATACGACTTTAGACCTGCACGGAACCGACACTTGTTGGGGTGCAAGGTAAGCGTGGCGTCTTGTCAGGAAGTCTCTGACATGCAGGTACAAGTGATCCACATCTGTTGAGTTCGACGTGACGCATAGTGTCGCCAAGATCAGCACTTCCTCCACTGAAAAGACGAGCACAAGTGGTACATTCGCGTGTCTCTTTTTGCTTGGTTCAGCGATCGCACTCCGAAGGTGGGTGTCTCATTGCTTCTCAATGACACAGCAGACAGGAGTTTCTCATAAAAGGCGGTGGCGGGGTAGCTGTGGCATTCGGGCTCCTTCTCCGCCACTGAGAAGCAGCACTGACGGCATCATGAGGGTCCTGCTGCTGAGCGCCATGCTGGCGGTGACGGCTGCCAAGCCGCGGCAGGTATCTCCCCTGGACCAGTGGGTCACCGAAGCTCCCGCCGCGGGCCGTAAACCTGAGGGACAGTGGGTCACTGACGGACCCGCCTCCGGCAGTCGCAAGCCGGAGATCCCTGTCGATGACAACTTTGAGTACCGCAACCCGTCAGTCACCGACGACGGCCTTGAGCTGTTCGAGTCGGACATGGTGCTGACAGCCGAGCAGCGCGACGGCCGTCAGGCGGCCACCAACCTCTGGACCAGCCCGGTCAGCTTCGCCATTAGCTCCAGCTCAGCGGCGGACCGGGACGCCATCCTGGCCGGAGTTCAGCACTGGCGGGACCACACATGCATCCAGTTCAACGAGGTGGCCGAGGGGTCCAGCGTACCGCACATCAACGTCATCAAGTCGTCCGGCTGCTGGTCCTACGTCGGTAAGATCACAAGCTCCGGGGGCCAGTCCCTGAGCATCGGTTCCGGCTGCACCGGCCTGGGCACGGTGGTCCACGAGTTCGGCCACGCCATGGGCCTGTCGCACCAGCAGTCGCGCAACGACCGCGACAACTACGTCACCATTCTCTTCGACAACATCCAGGATGGAAAGGAGGGCAACTTCGGGAAGCGGTCCACGGCGAACAACTACTCGGTGCCGTACGACCTGACCTCGGTGATGCACTACGGCGCTGCCTACTTCACCAAGAACGGCCAGGACACCATCCGTGTCAACAACTTCCTGCAGGGAGGTCTGATCGGCCGCCGTGGGGGACTGTCGCACCGTGACAAGCAGATCGCCAACGCCATGTACAACTGCGCCGGTAGCTGCTCCAGCCCTCCCACCTGCCAGAACGGCGGCTTCGTCGGCAAGAGCTGCACCTGTGTTTGCCCGCCCAACACCTCCGGCGCCAACTGCGAGACGCTCAACGGCGGGTACTACCCGGATATCGACTGCGGGAACATCGACATGACGCAGCCGGGCACCATCAAGTCTCCCAACTACCCCAACAACTTCCCCAAGAACGTCGTCTGCTGGTGGGTCATCAACGCGCCGGCCGGCCAGCAGGTCAAGGTCACCGTCACCGACATGAAGATGTTGTACCGCTCCAACGGCAACTGCTACTGGGACCACCTCGCCATGCGCTATTCGGGCAGCGACCATGTCAACGACCAGAAGGCGTGCGACGCAGAGCTGCAGGGTCAGAGCTTCACCTCCACCGGAAACCGCTTCATCGTCCAGTTCAAGTCGGGTAACTACGGCTGGCACCGCGGCTTCTCGGCTAACGTCGAGTTCCTCGGCAC